TAGTGGCAAAAGTTGAATTATGAAAAGAACTGAAGTGCAAAGGATACTGAAAGATAGGAATGTGCACGACAAATTTTCAAATCTGATCTTCTCGAAAACGAAACCTTAAATGACAAAAATATTCTTTTTTTCTCGACTTATTTTTCTGTGTATAATTATCTCCTTTCTGGTTGTAGCATTAATTATATGATACCAAATGCTATACTTCATGTATACTTCATGTATAATATTTTCGCATATTGTATGCATTCTATATATTTTATCATATATAGAGTGACTTACGTATACTTAAGAACAGAATCACTAATTCAAGTATACTCAATTTTTGTTTAGAGAATATTGGATCCATCCTTGTTACCAATAATGAATTCGTAATAATAATAATTAATATAATTGTCACTTTTAAGAAAAAAATATATTTAATAAATTAATTAAATATAAATATAATTAATTAAATATAAAAAAATCAAAAAATATAAAACAAATAATGAAATATATAATGCAAAAATAATATATAAATGATATATAAATAACGTATATTCTAACGTATATATTTCATGTGTATATTTAAAAGAACTTTTTTTAAATATTAGTTAAATACTAGTTAAAAAATATTCATTTCGCTATGGATTAGAACAAACATCCACCGCTCGGTGGCTAAGAAATACTCAAAATGAATCTTTTCAAAAATGAAGCATTATATAAACAAATTTTATTCTATATTTTCGATTTATTTTTATACTATGAAAATTGGGATACCCCGTATAATAACTTGACAATAATTTTTCATTCAATAAATTTGCTAAAAATTAACAAAACTAAAATGTGTTCTGTTTCATGTTTTCTTAAGCAAAGTAATAACTTAATCATTCTAATTATTAATAACTAATTATTTACTTATTTGTTACTTACTGTTATTACTATTACTTACTATTTAATTAATAATTCTAATTAATTATCAAATTTATGTTATATATTTTTCGTGGCGAAACAATACATATTATGAATATTCATAATTTTCTTTATTCTTAATCAAACAACAGTGTCAGACAAACATTTGAATAAAAAAATTACAGAAGCTTATAAGTGAAATTAAATGTAAAAATTTTACTTTATGCAGAAGATTCTAGAACTCTTGAAAGACAATTCTATCATTATAAAATAAGTCAAAAAGAGAGAACAAGATTTTTTCATTTCAAACCTTTGATTTCAAGAAAATCGAATTCGAAAATTAGTGAAGTGTAATTGAATTACTTGAATTACCTGAATTCGTGAACTATGAATTTGGATAATTCAAATAAAATAAAACCCGGAGAGAACGAATGATGGACATAAGGACTATTTGCAAAAATAAGTAAAGAATAAATTTTTTTCGTTTAAAGCATCAGTTTCAAGAAAATAAACCTTGAACGTGCTTTATTAAAAATTACCGTGGGACACAAATTTTCTTCGTAAAAAAGAGCAAACACTCTTATGAAAAAATGGTGGTCATTCGTTGTCTCACATAGAACAATCTTCTGTCGATTGTTTATTTGATTCAAGTGCACTTAAGAAATATTCAAACTCGATCTTCTCGAGAAGGCTCTAATGAAAAAATTTTGTTCTTTCTGTTCGACTCATTTCTACATGTAGAATCATCTACTAATCGATATCATAATTAACTTTAATTAACGTTTAGATTTTGTTTTTCTTTTCATCTAATTTTGATATACTTTTAAATATTCTTCTGTTTTTAAATCGCTCTAATTAGAATTATTAATTCTCAACGAAATAGAATTAAAGCCTCTCTTATCCGAGCTTCCATTACACGAATTAGTCTAATTTCCCATTAGTTTAATACTCAAACAAAATATTTACTATAATAATAGATGCCTTTTTGCGTATATGTTTCATGTATTTTTATAATTGCAAAAAAGCATCTTATTAAAGCATCAGATTCAAGATTTTACTAAAAAGAAAAAAATATGAAACAAATAAGAGATTATATTTATTATATCTAATTCCGATAAATCAACGTGAAGTGATATCACAAATATAATTGAAATTGATAAGAATATGTTTTCTTACACTGAAACATTTAGAAAAAATAGTTTGATATATAAAAAGCTATATTAATAAAAATTTAAGAAATGCTAAATATTCTATAATTAAAAAAATAGCATTCTTTAATATCGAAATAAACTGCCAATTTTCTTCATCTCTATTTGGATTCATGCAATTATTAATGCGAGAAAAATGGCTATTTTATTATCTGGAAACTCCATTAATTATGGGGAATTAATAATTAAAAATGTATTAATAATTAAAATTATTGTATTAATAATTAAAAAGTAATAATTTATCAGAATGTTACAAATACTCCAATTCTTTTGAAACTGGATTCCTAAAATAAAATCTAAATAGAATCTACGTGAAAAATACACTAACGATGAAAATTACTAAGTAATTTTTCCTTGAAATTTATCAAAAAATAGAATTTTACAACTGCGGATTTTTCTATCGAAGCTCTAATTTTTAATCTCGTTATCAAAAATACAAAATCGTATTTTTGATAACACGATTAAAAATCAAAGTTTCAATAGAAAGTATATTCTGTATATTTATTCCTATCATGAATGCGTAAAAATCCGCAGTCTATCTGTAACGTAAATTGATCGAAAGGCGGAAGCGAGATAAAATCTATATTCCGCGTTAACGCGACGCTGGTCCTTTACGAGCCAACTTAAAGATAAGAAACCTAAAAGAGAATGGTCATCGAAGTTTGGTTAATTGGCGCGCGCGCGCGTCCGTCCACCGACGCACTTTTAGGTTAGGAATTCGGGTGCACCTGGAGCAGAGCGGCAGGAACGTATTTGGAGAAACAGTCAGTCCTCCCCGTTGACGAGAGAGAGAGAGAGAGAGAAAGAGAGAGAGAGAGAGAGAGAGAGATCGTTCTAAACGAGACATAATTGTGTGTAAAGAAACGGCGAAATCCTCGAGCTACCATGGAAAATGCTTATCGCCTAGATGTTAAGTGGAGTGTCTGCGCCGGGTCAACGGGAAAGTAATTTACCCCTACGTGTTTTATATAACGTAACTAAGTAGAACAGACTATAAACAAAGCCTATCGCGCGCCTCGCCCTGGGAAATTATTATCGAATATCCATATATCCTTGCGTTCGCTTCTGCATATATATATATATATATATATATATGTATATATATATATTTCTCTCTCTCTCTCTCTCTCTCTCTCTCTCTCTCTTCTTTTTTTCCCCAGCCCGAAGGTTTTCTCTCATGAAACCTTCGCCATCGGAATCGAGATTTAGAACGCGTACACGGCGCGACACACAACTTGTGCGCGAAGAGTCAGCGTTGCTCGAACAACGGGGAAAAGTAGGACATACAGGACCAAAAACAGTATCCCAAGTCCGCCGGTGCAAATTGGAACAAAGTTCGCCGAGCCGGTATCTAGCATCACGGTCGAAAGAAACGAGAAATACCATTGGCTGGCCGTCGAATTTTTCTCTGGTAAGCAAAGAGACCCAGCAAGGATCCAACGTTATAAATACGAACTGGGTGTCCATTGTCGGGGAACTTCGACGTATGGTGTATTACAAAGGAACAAACGGTGCGTTTCCTTCTCTGAACACCTTGATAACGCACCTGAAAGCGCACGATCCGAGGTGTGGGGCCAGCAATCGGGAAGAGCCGGCGAGACGGCAGCGATTACTGAATTATCGGGGTTAAGGGGTTCCCCGGATTGGGCCACAGGGACTCGCAAGCGATATTAGAATAATGCGAGCCAAAAGAGGAATATTATGTTTGGGTTGTCCCTAGTTTTCAACAGGGAGGCGCAAAGTGAACAGTGCGCAGGCGCAGGCGCAACTTATGGTCGAAAACACTGACCTGATTCAATCATTCTCGGGTAAACGATCAAAAAAAGAGAGAATAGGAGAAGAAAGAAGGACAATCAAAAGGAAAGAACTTAAAGAAAAAGAGAAAAACGAAAAATCGAGGGAAAACGAAATCGAAAAATGAGAAAAAAAGGAACGCAACCTGGAGGATTCAACGACTAGAGGCCACACGCAGAGTCTGTCATCCCACAGAGGAATTGCGCTCTGCACTTACTCTGAAAATGTAATCTTTGTCAAAAATAATATATCAAACACTGTGTTGATCAGACACAAGATGAGAAAGAAAGTTAAATGAAACGAGGCGCGCGATTGTACACCGAGACGTCTCGCGAGAGCATAACCTAGAAGGGCAGCTGCGCTGATCAGCGTACGCAGGCCAGGTCAGATTTGAATCACGAGAATCGCAGGTTAACGTTGTTATACGAGGAGATATAACCTTCCAAGGAATGCAGGAAACAGAGAGAGAAACGAGCGAACGGGCACCGTGAATCGAGAGAAACCGCGTTAGTAGCGCAGAGTATGCGGCATTTCTAGCTGTTGAAGCTGTAGTACGGTTTCCATATAAGTGTGTATTATGCGTACGGGAGTCCACGACGCGAATGCATAATCCAGACATGCAGCGATTTCGAGATAGATGATACATTAGGCTCGCATACACTAGGATTAATATAATGAAGAAAAATAATAATAATAATAATAATAACAATAATAATAATAACAACAATAACAACAACAACAACAATAATAATAGTAGTAGTAGTAGTAGTAGTAGTAGTAGTAGTAATAGTAGTAGTAGTAGTAGTAATAGTAGTAGTAGTAGTAGTAGTAGTAGTAGTAGTAGTAGTAGTAGTAGTAGTAGTAGTAGTAGTAGTAGTAGTAATAATAATAGAATTATTATGATGAGAATAATAATAATAATGACAATAATAATAATAATAATAGTAGTAGTAGTAATAATGATAATAGAAAGGACGAGAAGGAGAATCTGGTAGGATTTCGTGGAGAAAGATTCGGGGGGAAGAGGAGATAGGCGGCGGATGCGACGAGCTAACGGCCGTATATACGAAAACGATCGGTAATGAGAATGCAATGGAAAATGCGTACCTCTCTTGCCATTACGTCATATCCCTGCAGGTAAGGGACCGTCCCAGCAAGCACTTATTCAGAAGGAACGAGTAAAGAAGCTGCACGTCGCATTATCGTGGCGACGGGATGCTCTCGTGCACTACTGTCCGCCCACCCTTGCTCGCGCTCTCTCTTTCTCCCTCTCTCCTTCCGTGTTCACTCCTTCTCCTTCTTCTCTGTCTTTCTCCGTTTCTCTTTCTAAGGTCGGTTTCTCTCTCGGTTTCTTTCCTGGATCTGAGCGTTCTCCTTGCCGTTTCTTCGCTCGTTCTCTCGGTTATTTGACCGTCCAGTTAACTTGGCTTTATCCCCCCCCCCCCCTACAACCCTCTTGTGATCTCTTCTCACGAACGTTCCTCCGTCTCGTGCACCGTACACCGAAACACCTTGCGATGCGACACCGTTTCCCTTTCTCTCTCCCTCTCCGTCTCCCTTCGTCTATCACACTCTCGATTTCGCTCTATCTGTCCGTTTATTTATCTATATATCTATCTACCTATCTATCTATCTACCTATCTTTATCCCCCCCCCCTCTTTTTTCACTTCTTCCTCTTTCTCTGCTTCTCGCGGTTAATCTATCTGTTTCTGGAGCGCTTCTCTCTCTCTCTCTCTCTCTCTCTCTCTCTCTCTCTCTCTCTTTCTCTCTATAAAGAGAGAGTATAGACGTATTCGTTGGTTTCTCTCTCTCTAGCTGTTTCTTTCCCCTTCTCTCGCTATTTCTCTCTATTATTCTCTGTTTAGTGGGTCTCAGATTTGGTTCGTTTGTTCGTTCGGTGAATTTCCGCACTGTATCAGCTCGGGGTGTCGGCGGTTGGTGGTGTGTCGCGCGATGCTCGAATCAACACGCGGGCCGAACGCGAGCGACCACCTCGCGAGAACACCTCATTCTAGCTGCTCCTCTCACCGTACAATTACCCGATCTAAGATTTCACTAGCGCATATGGGGGCAAATTGTAACAGTGGCTTCCTCCCAGCGGTTACTGCGGCGACTCCTAGTTTTAGATCGATTCTCTCTCGGTGTACGTACAGATACCCTCGCCCTCGCCCTCACCCTCGCCCTCGCCCTCACCCTCTCGGCTTTCCTTCTCCCCACGAATTCACCCGCAACAACCTCGCCCCACGCGCGCCTCTCTCTTCCGACTGACGACCACTACCTCCTCGTAACCCCTACGATCTCTCTTTACAGTGGCGGTACCCAGTTCCCGAGTTTGCCAGTCCAACCCCAGGGTACAGTGCTGCCTACACTCTGCTCCAACCATTTAGCTATTGTCCGTCTGGTAACGAGGAAGGTCTACGTTACCAACCGCTCCGTCGATATTTTCTTTAGTAGGTCACAGACGAAGTACATTCGTATGTTTCTATTTTTATTGCAATAAATTGGGATGAACTTGGATAAACTTTAAAATTACATTGTTTTTAGCTGAATATTTCTGAATATTTCTGAGAAGAACTGTTGGGGTTAAAAATTAAAATTTCGCGAAGAACGTTTTATCTTTTTACATTGGAATAATTTTTGGCAAAATATTGTATATAAGTTTCTTTTAAGCAAAAATAAAATTTATGAGGAGAATTTTTGGCAATTTGGAAATTACGATTCAAAATTTTGCAAACAGCACTTTAACATTTTAGTGCCACCATTGAATAAATATAGAATAGACCAGACATCAAATGGAACTTCGTGTTTCTGGCTCTGAAATACCGACCAAGAAAGAAATCACTAGTTTTTTTTAGTGAATTATGCTTAACCAATGAATTAAAGAACTATAGTTGTATACTTAGAAAAGTATACAAGTTGGTTTAGTAAAATTATTTGTAATTTTAATTTAAAAATATCAATGATGATACCTTATAAGATTTGCACAGACGAGATACAAGTGGTGTCACATAAAAAATCACTGGATTTTTAATACACTCTATATTTCAAGATAAATAAAGGCGAATTTAAGAATTACAAACAAACCGATCGGTGTTGAAGTAATGAAGAGACATGTTTGAAATTTACTATAGTATTGTCAAACTTTCAATACCAAAACGCACCATAAAGCAATAGCAGACATGGTATATGAATATACGCCATATACCTTGTCTGTGCTAATAGCTATAAGAAATCATTCTACTACGTATCACCAATCCATGTTTTACGTATTTGTAATACTAAAATTTTAATGTAGTATATCATCTTAAATATAAATAATTTATACCTTAGAAAGTATCTTCAAGAATAATTCTTCACTACCTAAATTTTTAACTACTTTATTATTTAGAGTGTTTCTTAAACTCTTCGTGATTTATATTCAATCACAGGTAAGAATTCAACTCTGTCGTTGAAAGCGATAAAATTAACAGTTATAAATAGATCTTTCATTTATTAAAGCACAGACAAGAGATAAATTTAGAATGGATCTGTTATTTAATCACAAAGGAGGTATAGAATCTTATGAATCATACGCTATAAAACATTAAGCAAAGATTAAAAGCTACGATCTTCTACAATATTCAAAAATTATTAAGTAAAAAAAAGTTTATTAAGTAAAAAAAAAAAAAAGGAAAGAAATTTGCGTAGTCTAGACCGGATTGCATAACTTGTGTGGTTTTTAGTTTAGTATCGTTTCACAGAAATTAAAGTGTAGAGAACGATATCAATTACCAGGTCCTACTACGTATACTAGATTCTAATCCCATTCATCCTCCATTACATACAAATCTCGGCATTCAAGTTCATATCAATACATTCTGTATCAAAAACATGCTTATCTAACGTTGAATGAAAAAGAGAAAACGAAATAACTTGATACTTTATTCTCACAATTTGATTATTGTGTCGCGCAAAGAGGGAAAACACGAAATGAAAACCGCGGCTAGTCCACAATTTTCACTGTCAACACATGAACCCAGGTTCGAGCATTTAGAGACAAGTAATTTAATGCTACCCGGGGTTCCCGAAGAACTGCTGAGCCATATTACCAAGGACGTTAAACTACCAAATTCTTACTTTGTCTGAGTGTTAATTGGACAAGGCTTTCATTTCGGATATTGGCACGCCGATAAGCGAAAATTAAAAACACTACTTTACTAAATTGATGCAATAAATAATAACATAACATAATGAATGTAGTATAATAAACTAAATAATAAAATGTAGAAACTCAGGAAACAGGAGAAAAGAACGAGGTTTCTAATTCCATTCCAAATTAAGTAAGCGTATCGTTGTATTCAGAATGTGCTCACAGTGAATTTGACAATTAACTAAAACTAATTGAAAGCTAATTAAAACATACGTACGTTCTACGGTGTTCTGCAATATCTTACAACGTCTCTCATCGTCCCACAGCATTAAATTTATATATGATATTATTTACTTTAATCAAAAGGACAAGAATTTTATTTTTATGTTCGCAAATCAAAAATTGCATAGATAAGAATATGTTATGACCATGTATCTCACGATGTCTAACATTGTTCAATCATCCCACGTCATCATTTTTGAAATATTCAGAAAAATTGAAATTTCGATCATTTCTCAAGTAGCAGTACTGCTACTCTCAAATTGATACATTGCTTCTTAAACTCTGCTCTCATTTATTTAGTCACGGATGTATAAACACAATTCACAATTTCATAACACGTTCATTTTAAATTTTCAAATTTTGCACTAATTCTATTTCAAATAGTTGAACAAAAATACTTAAGCAATTTCATTTATATTCAAAACAGTAAATGACATTTACTAAGAGAATGTAGAAAAAATTTAAGTAATCGTTTAATTATTATAAAGTCGTTAAAATTGTTAAATAATGATTAGAAATATTATAGAAATAGAATAATTTAATTATCATAAATGAGATATTCAAAGTAATGTTTGGAAATAATTAACGTTTGGGGAGAAATATTTAAATAGTGTTTGGAAAGAATTAAATTACTGATTCAATTCTGATAAATAATTTGTATAAATAATTTATTTAAAATTATTAAATAGCAAATAAAAGTAGGGAGTAGAAATTCAGAAATGTATTAGTTGGGTCGATTGTTATAAATGAATAAATAAAAATTTTAAATAATATTTAGAAAATTAAATAGTATTGGAATACTTTTACAAGAAATGTACCGTTATGAAAGAGAATTAATTGTTTAATTAATACAAATAAATTATTATAAATATTAAATAATGTTCAAATAATTAGAATATTGGGAAATATTATTTAAAAATTCAACTTTAAAGTTTGATAGGAGTCACATTGAAATCATCGACACAGAATTCTCCGACACTGTTTTCACCGACAATATTTCATCGACTCCAGATATTCCCGACAACAGTTTTAGCCGATGACAGTACTAACCGACAATGATACTGACCGATGACATTATTATGATATTTGTTCATCATTGTTTTTCTAATGACAAGGGTTAGGTTAGTTATATTTTATTATATTTTATTTTTAGTTGATAATATATATTCGACAATAACAGAACCATCATTTTCTGGATATGGTCGAGACATTTTTGTATAATTAACTATTTTCACTTACAATAAGAATGATTATAACTCTATTCGATATACTAGTAGCAATAAAGTCCATAGCCGAACGCAAACTGAGGCAATGTCTGTGACGATAGGCAATTGTCTAATGTCGTTGTCGGTCATTGCCGATAAAAACTGTTGTCGGGTAAAGTCGCTGTCGGACAAATCTAGAGTCGATGAAATATTGTCGGTGAAAACAGTGTCGGAGAAATCTGTGTCGATGATTTCAATGGGACCTCATTTAAATTGTAATGGTAGAATATTTCGATATGCATCAAAGGCTGGTTGTTCCAGGTGTTGAAAGCTAAAATTGGGAAAAATCGCTAAATTAGAAATTTACCAAAATAAGGAGAGGATATAAAATAAAATTTGTTGATTCGAGGCTTCGTTTTCAAGAAAATCGAGTTTGAGTATTTGCTAAGTATACTTGAATTTAGGTAATACTAGATGTGACAGAAAAGAATAATCAACAGAATAATCCTACGAAAATAAGTAATAAAATAAGTAAAAAAATAAGATTAGAATAAAATTTTTTCACTTGAAGCTTCATTTTCAAGAAAAAAAAACCTTGAATATGTTTCGTTCAAAATTTCCTCGTGCACGTGTATAAAATGTTTACTATTTGAACATAAAATAACACATACCATTTTAAACTCGTTGAATGTATTTAACTTTCTCCATTAATTACATTATAATAATTATTGTAAATATATATTACATAATCTCTATATTTTTAAACTAAATATTCAAACACGTATCTAGTATACTATTGTCCATTCACAGTGATAAACATATAATGCTTTAGGTTTCCTTTATTTTAAACGTGTACTGATTTTTTCCGCTAAATATTTCAAAAATTGTTTAATAATCGAAAAAAAATAATGCAATACAATTCGAGAATTCGGTCACTGTTCTATTCATATATTTGAAGTTACTTTTAACAATTTTCCCATCGTTTTCCAGAAAAGTGGTAGAAACATTTTTTGTTCCTTAGGAGACATTGTAAAAAGTGCCGTAAGAATTTTTCATTTCGGCGATACTAAAAATAATCCGTTTTTAACATCTTCCTTTTCATATTCGATTTTTTCGAAAACAAAACGCCTCACGAGAATAATATTTTCTACATTTACGAGAAAAATATTTTTCAACATTTTTCACTGATTTTCGCGGGTAGAATGATTTCCAGTTAATTATTTTTCCCTGTTATCTCTGGAATTAGTTAAATTCAACTACACTTGATATTTTTCATTTCGAATATTTTCCCGAATAATGAACAGTAGTGGTGATAATTGCGTGTAAAAGTTTAAACGAGATACTCTGTAATAATAATATTCATTTTTTAATAATTAATAACTTGTGCTTCGACCCTTTGCTTCGGTCACTATTTTACCGTGTCGTTTATCTCTGAATGATCTAAATTTGTTGCAAATGGTGTATTCGCTCTATTACTTATCACGCGTAATATTAATATTCTACGTTCACTGGATTTTCAGTCGCTTACCGTTCATGCAATAAACGTCCAATAGTAAAAGATAATAAAATAGTCATGTATATAAATATATATAAATTATTATAAATATATATTCTATTATTAACAAATATAATAGAATATAATGTATAATTATAAATTATAGTAAAATTAATATAAATTATAGTAAAATTAATAAATAGCAGTATATAAATTGTTAAAGAAAAGAAAAAACTACTAAAT